GTTTCAGAGTCAGCTTTGGCAGAGAAGTCTGTGGGACTCAAGCAAAACTGTTAGACTGTAAGCATGGGTCTAGTAGTTGAGTGTCAGCCATAAGCAAGCAAGCTGAGTAACAGCTTGAGGACTTGAGTTCAAGCCTGAGTATTGGCACAAACAAACCGAAACCAGAAAACTGTCTGTTTGTCTGTCTATCTGTAAGTTTGCATATTAGGGCAGTAGGAGGGAAGACAAAATGGAACAGAATTGTTGCTAGAACGCTGGAAAAGTGTTTCATACTCCTTAGCATGGTTAATTCCAGTTACTGATGACTTAGTAATCAAGTAGATGATGTTGATTTGAACATTTTTTTATGCCAGGAGAGGCAGGAAGATCTGAGGAATACATGTACACATTTACTTATGCATGTACATATATATACACACATATCATTATTATTTGATTGCTTTAAAAATTTGAAACAGGGTCTTTCTGGGAACCCCAGCCTGGCCTCAAATTCATGGTCTTCCTGCCTTAGCCTCTTTCTAGTACTAGGGTGACAGATGTACACCCCTGTGCTTGGCTGAGAATATTATTTTATTGTAAGAGTATTTGCATTAGGAAAAGAAGATATGTACACAGACCAAAAACAGAAAAACAAAACAACTATGATTGTACCAGCCTAGATAAAACCACAGTACCCATTTCTCTTTAATATTGCATAATATATACATCTACATACTTGTGTTTTATATATACATTTGTGTTGGAACCAACCTTATTAATATTTTATAATCCCCCATAATACAGATAACATTTAAAGTCCTTGTCTTAGATGACTCTGACATCAGTTTATGTACCTCCTTGAAGGTATGTACAAGTCTGCTTCTAATCACAAATGAGAGAACACAGTTCATACCATTTGCAGTTTGTATGTGTAACTCAAACTCACTTTTTCCAACTGAGTCAAGAAAATATAATTTGAATTGATGAACTCATACATTATTTTTAGTTTTTCAGTTTTTTGTCTCAATAAAGATTATTTTACATATCTTTGTGAATTTTGTACAAATGGGTAGAATAAGTTTTAAGAAGTAAAATCTTGAAATCAAAGGATATGTGTATATTCAAAGTGCCATATATAATTTCTATATAGTTTCTGTGAATTGTGTTCATTCTTTTGCATCCTCTTATTTTCTATTAAATCCTTAACATTTTCCATACTAAATGCACTTAAAGTTGTTTTTAAGTGCTTTCCTATTGCTCCTTTTAAAGCAGTTGCCCTTGTTAATGATGGTGCTTATAGTTTGGGGGTCTTTCCTCAGCTCTGGCTCCTCACTACTCAGTTGTTGACTCTATCTGAACTTTGTCTCTCAAATGCTTTCTTCAAATCTGGTTCACTTTTAATTCTTAACTAACACAGTTACCTCCTGCTCAGAATTCTTGTTTACTTACCCAGAAGAGGGCCCAGTATAGCTTGAAGTGAAGTTTGTAATAATGGGAAAATCCTGTATTTTTGCTCTTCTTGTGCAATTTGCCTAGAACTCTTATCTTTCTATAAATAAGGAAACTTTACCCTACCTGCTGCTCCCCATCTGTCTGCATCATTTCCCAATTTTTTTTTTTTTTACCATAGTTTACTGTAAGTATGTCATGACATCTCATGGTATTTGCTTGTAGGTTGCACAGATACTTTCTGGTAGATTGTTCTTTGTGAACATTTTAAAGTTAAACTCAAAAGTGGCAATGTAGGTTTAATAGACTTGTTTTTCTTATTTTTCTTCCATGAGCTAAGTATGGTATAAATAGGAAATTACACTTAGTTTCATATTAAAGGCAGTGATAAAACCATTGAAATATTATTAGATTATGAGACTTTGATGAGGAACACACACACACACACACACACACACACACACATATGTATATGTATGTATGTATGTTGTTGTGAGACCAGGAGTCAAACTTGGTATCTGATGCTTTGCTAATTGGCTGGCACTCTACCTAGTCATACCTCCAACTCCTGTTTTTGTTTTCTTTTTGCTTGTAGTTCTTTTTAAATGTTCTCTGTGTTCTTTCACACGTCCTATATTGAATTTACTTCTTGACTGAATAGGATGTTGGGCCTGCCACTCAAGGGGAACTAGAGACCCTGATTGACTTGTCACCTGCAGGATCTCAGCACCTAGGCCTCCATCAACATTCCTTTGAAATTGTGTTTTCTGCCTCAGGGCACATCACACCATAGGGTAGGCAGTTAAGCTTGAAAGCCAGTGAATTTTATGGAAAACCTACTGTGAGTTACTGCAGTTGACTTGACTCAAAGCAGTTCTGATCCTGTTTCGTTTCCTGACTCCTTTTTCAGTCAAGACTTCGAAACTACTCAGAAAACAAAGATGTTATGTGGCATCTCTCTGACCTTTTTTTTGGTTTTTTGTACTGGGGTTTAGATTCAGGGCTTCCTGCCACCTTCTAGGGCACTGTACACCACTTGAGCCATGCTCATAGCCCTGTCAGTCTTGGGCTTGAATTCAGAGTCTGGGCACTGTCTCTGAGCTTTTTCACTCTACCACTTTGAACCTTGGTGCTACTTCCATTTTTTTGGTAGTTAATTGGAGATAAAGAGTCTCACAGACTTTCTTGCTCAGGCTGGCTTTGAACTGAGATCCTCATATCTCAGCTTCCTGAGTAACTAGGATTACAGGCAAGAGCCACCAGCACCTGGCTCCCTTTTTTAATGTTAGTTTTTTCAGGTAGGGTATTGTGTTCCCTGGAGTAGTGTCAGATCATGGGCCTCTTATTTATGCCCCTGGGATTACAGACATGTACCATCAGGTCTGGTTTATTGATTTTAATGAGCTCTAGTTTTGCTCAGGCTGGCCTAGAACTATTATCATCATGATCTCTACCTTCCAAGTAGCTGGAATTATAGGTTTGAGCTACTGTGCTTGGCCTAATGTCTGTGTTGTTTTTAATGACTACTATTGCTTCATGATGAAGTAAACTGAAAGCCATTTACTCTCCTGTTTCTTATTTCTATTATGAAGTGAGATAACAGTTTCTTAAACCTTTAAGTACAGTGGAAGAGTGGTTAATTGTCTCTGGTGCCGGAGTTAGAAAATTTGGATTTGTTTGGGCCTGGGAAAATTACTTAACTTTTTCCCCTTGTCTCAGGATTCTGGGTGGTTACAGTGAGATGTTAATGTAAACCTCTTAGCCAGCACTTAATCATGAGTTCTAATTTAGAACCTTAGATGCTGCTCCAGGATCACTATTTGTTTTGACTAATTCCCAAAAGTACAATTGCTAGGTCAGAGGGTAGGAATATTTTCCTAGTTTTGACAGGCATTACAAAATTGCTTTCCTGAAAGGTGGTGCCGTTTTACTTAGGAGCTGATCTTGAGAGATTTTGCCTTTCTGGAACTCTTGAGTGGGCTTTTGTATTTTGTGTTTTATGTGAAGTTTAGGATAAGTTGCTTTTACTCTGAGTATGAGGCAGTGGAAAAGAGTACTGTGGGAAGGAAGAAGAGTTGTTAGTATAATACAAATAAAAGGATACTTTTATTGCTTTGTCCACATAAACCTTTATACTTAAAGCTTGTTTGATAGTTTTGGTTCTCTTGATCATTTTGTTCCATAGGTACTTTAATTTTTCTTTAGCTTACATTTTGTACTTCTCAAAGTTCTCTCTTTGAAGTAGTTCCATTTGATTTTCACATAATAATGTTTATTGTGAAAATCATAGAAAATTAGAATTTTTTTTTTTTAGTTCTAAAGGGGGACCTTGATTGATTTTTTTTTTTTTCTGGTCTTGTGGTTTGAACCCAGGACCTGGGTGCTGTATATTACCTTTGATGCTTTCTTTACTCAAGGCACAGCTCTACTTTTAGCTTATTGCAGGTTAATTGGAGAGGAGAGTCTCATAAACTTTCCTGCCTGGGCTGGCTTTGAACCTTGATCATCAGATCTCAGTCTCCTGAGTAGCTAGGATTATAAGCGTTGAGCTTTGAATTTGTTTTTGCATATAAATCTCTTCATAGTATAAATTTATAGTAACTAAAATGTCTTAGAAACCTCAAATAGGCAATCTTTGATAAGAATAGTTTGATTTACCAAAGATATTTGAAACTACTTAAGCAGTTCTTAAATATTTGGCATAAATGTTTTGATTATTTAGAACTTGCTCCTACTTACTCTGTACTATAATGAAATGTTCCCCCACCTGCAAAGTCCAGGAGTACCTTATCTGTGCTGTCTCTCCTGAATCCTTAGGTATAGATGCTAAATGAATGGATTAGGACCTATGGTCAAATACAGATATTGATTGAATAATGTCCTGAGTTGATTTAAGGTCTTAAAAACCATTAGTAAAGTATCATTAAGTATCATTTTAGAGTTTACCTGATGTTCTCGTGCTTGCTAAGATATCGTTAATCATTGAACTTGAGGATTTCTGAATTCTCGCATTGGTATACTGTTAAGCTTCTCTGTGAAGGATTTTTTTTAGTTCATCTGTGTAATTTTGTATCTATACATGTTCTCATTGTGTAATTGTAATACTTCTGCGTGTTTACTCAAATAAAACTGCATCATTTACTGTTGTAATAGAGTTGAGTGCCTTTTGGAGTAAGGAAAGCTGGAATTGTATGTGTGAGTATGGCATCTAAGATTTAAAAAGGTTTTCAAATAATGGTTACTGAAGTTTTGCAGTGAAAAGAGGCAATTGGATTGAACAGAAAAAGGATATGTATAGTAGTTTATAATTTTTAAACCCCAAATAAGATTTTTGTAGTAATAATTTTATATTCTGCTGAGTGACTAATATATGCTCACCTGTTTTTCTCATATATACATATGTATGTATTTCTCTACATACACACACATATATATATATATATATAAAATCAGTAAAAGGGCTGAATTTTTATTTTTTTAATGCTTGAGTTTAAGGAAATTAATTTAGCACAAAATGCTTGCTTCAGTTTCTAAGATATTAAAGTTGTTTTGTTTTGATACATTTTCTTTAGGTGTTTTGTGAATTTACTCTTCAGTGATTACATACATAGAAATCTCATTATGGCGACTTTCCAGCCTTTCAGGAAGAGTCATATGAAGACTAGAGCATCTGTCAGAAAAGTAAGTTCCTTCTATTAGTTTCTTTCAGTGAAAGTTTTAATAAGAAGGTTGAATTAAAAAATTTCCATACTCACTTAATTTTTAAATGACCACATTGTTTAAGTTGGAAACATTAAAATGCAACAGATAGTCATGTATAAAAATAGCAATATGACATCATATCCACAATGATTTTTTCCCCAAAATCTTTATTTCCTAAATTGCACTGCCTCCTTTCCATTTCTTTCAGTAAATTGTTTTCTGCTTTATTAGGAATATAGACCATCAAGAGCAAACTTACCTATATACTTTGGTTTTACCCCAAATATATGTAAAATATGACCATTCTTTCATTTAATAAATAGGAATTTGAGTGTTGAGTGCTTAAGTCAGGCCCTATGATACATGTTGGGAAACCAGTATTGAACAAATAAAGTAGCATTTTTTTCTTCTAGTCTGAGGATACCACTAAAAGGCAGGAGAGAGGATGGAGACTGGGGGATGTTTAGTAGTCTTTGTTGGCCCTTTTCCTGGACTTTTATCTTCTGCACTGTGTGACACTTACCTGTTAGGATGACCTTTGAGTTTCAACACAGTGTTTTTCTTCTCAGTGCTTCTCTTTTCTGCTCCCTTTTGATAACTGTCTTCCCTTATGATACCCAGAGGAAAAGTAATTCAGGTAAGTGGATGACGAAAGGGTAAATGCCATCTAATTACCAAATTTCAAATTAATGATATGGTTTAGTCACCTCCCCTGGTAATAAGTAAATTTACAATCTCTCATTTGTTTATTAGTATTTCTCAGGATATATGGATTTATAATTCTATGCTTTACAATATTTTATTTGTATATAGTCATCTATCCATCTATCTGTGTATCATTGCCCAAATTGTCCCCAAATGAGTATGTAGGAACTCCTGTTAGCAAGTGGCTGTCTCCTTTAGTCTTCAGCTTACAACTCTTTGCTTCCTTGCTTTTTGGCTGCATCCTATTGGTGTATAGGGTGACATGATTTCACTCATTTCGTCACACTTGAAATTGGCTATTTTTCAAAGAGCCCTAAAAAGGATTTAGAAATCAAGATCTGGTTATTGGAAATGCTACTTGGTTCTACAGTATCATGAACTTATATAGATAGTTTCAAGTTTAAGTTCAGATTTTATATATCATTTTAGACTTTATGTTCTTTAGTATGAAAACTTCTGTTCATAAATGAAAATTGAATTGCTTAAATATTGAAGATGTTGCAGAGAGAATTTTCTAATCTATTCATATTTGTTAGCTTGCATTTATAGGTAAATAAAGAGTACTCCGAAGATTAAATTCAAGAGTTGCAGTCCATTACCATTTTTTAAATGTCTTAATTATCCCCAATTTGGTCAGCCAGAATAATTGGGCCTCTGTGTTTTTTTGAAATGAGGAATTTAGACTTTGAGCCCTTCCTTGTGTTCTACCACAGTTAGATGTTACAGGCTCACCTAGCTTTCTCTTTCTCGAATGTAGAACCAGCCATTTTTTTCCTTTGTTTCCTGAGGAGCTTTCATTTACTTAATTGGTGATTAGCATTTGGAAATAAATCTGGGTACTTGGTATGCTTATTGCTTCTGAGGGTCATAGCTCCTAAGAACTTTCAAATGAAAAAATATAATACATGTATTTAAAGACTTCCTGGTTCATATTGAAAGGTCACATTGAAATTTAACATTACATCTTGATTTTTAAAAAATTCTGTGCTTTCATATTTGTATTTCTTTCGTAGAACATAGCATTAATTGCTGAAACAAGGATACAGGTTGACCCATTGTAACAATGAGATGTATAAGACACTACGTTGAAAACAAACTTCACAACTTGGGGTGAGGGAGAAGGAGTTGGGGAGGTAGGGAAAGAAGGGATGGTAGGGGATAAAGAAAGGAGGGGGTAACAATGCTTGATAGGAAATGTACTCATTACCTTACCCCTTTGTACAGTATCTTTACAATAAAAAACATAAAAAAACATAGCATTAATTAATTAAAAGTTAGCAGCTGTTTATTGAGCTCATATAGATGTGAGGTTCTGAAATCTGAGGAATCAATTAAGTGAAATACAATGTCTATCCTCAATAATTTGGTATAATAGGTAGAAAAGAAATAGTTATGAGAATAGTAATTGTGATATGTATATGGTATAGATGAAAAGATCTCTTTACAATAGGAAGTTTGAAAGGGTTTTATTATGACTAAAGGATAGGAAAAATCTTTACAAGTTTGAGATGGGTTGAATGTAAGATACTGAGGAGCAGGGACAAAAGAAAGAGAGCAGATCAACAAATCAGAAGGGGAATGGGGTATGAAAGTATGATAAATGAGGTTGGAAGGAAGTTAATGGGGTCTCTTCATGTCTGACTATAATACTCATTTTCTTTATATAAATTTTCCTGTCCTCTAGTCCTTTGCAATTGTGGCATTGCAATGTAGACTCTCCCATCTCATTTTCATCATACAGCTACTTAAGACCTTATTTTCAGTTACCACTGCTTTTCCATCTCTGACTTGTCAAGAGTAATCATTGTTGCTTGCTAGTGTACCCTCCTGCAGCTCTAAAATTTCATCATTATATAAGTTGTTGCTTCTTTTCTGCATGTGACTTGAAAATCCATGTGTATTCTTTTCCTTTTACCATTGGGTAAGAGTAAGTAAACAGGAAGCCTGATGGATTGGGGTGGTCTTCCAGAACTTTTTGGCTCTGATTTATTTGTGTTGTCTGGGCACATAAAACTCAACTTAAGCTTTTTCACCTGAATATATCTTTTTTCTTAGCTGAATGGAGTTCACAAGGTGCCAAATGAATTAATTGAAGAATGAGTGACTTCTAAAACTTAGCATCTTCAGGATCTCTTCCTTAACTTAGAATTTAAAAAAAAATAAGCATGTCTTTTTTTAATTTTTTTTCAGAGCTTCAGTGAAGATGTGTTCCAGTCTGTGAAGTCTTTATTAGAAAGTGAGAAGGAACTGTGCAGTATATCAATAGAGGACTGTGTAAGGCAGGATGAACATGCCAATTTAACAGAGGTTTGACACATTCCTTTCTAAACCCTTCTTAATAAAACACAGTGTATTTTCATGCATTTTTAGGACTGTTTGACCTATTTTTAAAATCTCTTTATTATATGTGTTAGAAGTATCTATTTGGAACATTCATATAATTGTCTTAATGTACTGTAATCATATCTAATTCATGCATAGATGTTATTAACCACTCATTGAACTTGAAGACAACACTGTATTCAATGATTCCTCCTGAATTCTATAATTTTGTACTTTAGTCCTGAGGTTTTCTGTTCTGAAACATAAAAATGCTTATTTAATATATTTAGTTTTTGAATTACTAATTTTCTTGTCTGTATCAATGCTTTTATTTTAAAGCTAAAGGCAGTGATAAATAATCTCTGAAAGGAGTAAGAATTTGAAAAAAACAGCTATTTTCCATTATAATCATATTAGCAATTATAAGCGAGATGGTGTGGGGGGCTAGGAGTAGTATAGGTCAGTAGTAAAGCTTGCCTAGCACAGTTTCTAGACCCCGTCCCTAGTACTACAATTTAAAAAGTGTGGTATTGGGTCTTGCAGACTAACACTGATGCATATGTTAATTAAAACTTTTTTTTTGAAATGAAAGTTCAAAACGAAACTTCTAATAAGAGCCTTGATTATTATTATTCTAGGGAATATTTTTCTTTTATATTCCTTGAGAAAGTTTCCACTACATTGTCTTTTTATAAGAAGGTGACCATAATTTAGAATGCATCAGTGATACTCACTAGACACTATGTTGAAAGTGAACTATACAACTTGTGGGGGAGAGGGATCAGGAAAGAAAAAATTGGGAGAAAACAGGGGAAGAAGTGACACTGTTAAAAAATGAAATATACTCATTACCTGACTTATATAACTGTAGCCCCTCTATCACCTTTTTTTTTTTTTTGTCGGTCGTGGGGCTTGAACTCTGGGCCTGGGCGCTGTCCCTCAGCTCTTCAGCTCAAGGCGAGCGCTCTACCACTTGAGCTACAGCGCCACTTCAGGTTTTTTGGTGGTTTATTGGAGATAGGAGTCTCACGGTCTTTCCTGCCCGGGCTGGCTTTGAACCGTGATCCTCAGATCTCAGCCTCCTGAGTAGCTAGGATTACAGGCGTGAGCCACCAGCGCCCGGCTCCTCTATCACCTTTATAATAAAAAATATTTATTCTATTTTGTCTTCAGTTCCATTTCTGTTGCTCTTAATTCATCTTCTTTGCTATCCCTTTGTACTTTATTTTAGTAAAGTCGAGCCATTCTTAATATAATCAGCTGTTGCCAAGTGTGACAAGTCTCCCATGTCCTGCCATTATCAGTTTTATAGCTCTTGTCTCTTAGCTGTCTACATGCCTTTCTATGCCCACATTCCTGGATGAGATCTCCCCTGATCATGGGAAATCGACAACTTCAAATCTCATTTCAATTTGTTTTGTGTTTTGTTGTCAGTAAAGGAAACTTGAAAGATTAGAAAGAATTTCTGTCCTACTTTAGGACATGCTTATCTCTCAAAGAAGAAAGAGATTTGTTATTGAGTATTTATTTCTTACTAAAAGTATATTATGTGGCAAGATGCTGGTAGCTCACACCTGTAATCCTAGCTATGCAGGAGGCTGAGATCTGAGGCTTCTGGATTGAAGCCAGTAGGAAAGACTTTCAATTAAGCACCAAAACGTTAGAAGTGGAGCTGTGGCTTAAGTGGTTGAGCACTAACCTTGAGCATAGAAGCTCAGAAACAGCACTCAGGTTCAAACCCCAGGACTGGCACCAAAATAAATAAATAAATAAATAAAGGAGGGAACTTAAATTGCATGAAATTTCATAGGTGAGAATTAGGATTCTAGAGGTCAGTATTTTCCATGGATATCTAGAGAATAACAGTTCTTTGAAATAATAACCATAATTAATCAGAATAAAGTTTCCAAGGTAATTCTAACATTTTGAATTGTTTCTGAAATAATCAGAAAGATCAGAGTGTACTTGGTATTGATTTATGTGCTAATTGTGCTGTTTCTCCCTAATTCTTGATAATTTAGCATCTACATTCCTGTTACTCAGTATTGTATCAATCTAGCCATGGTATTGCTTAGTAAACAATTTGTCATTTTATCATACAGGAAACAAAATTTTCTTTTTATTTATTTTTGTCTTCAAATAGTGCTACAAGGGGGTTTCAGTTTAACCTGTCAATTTATGTGTATAGTGCACCTTGATTAGTATCACCCTTTTCATCATTCTTCACCTCTTTTCATTATTCCACTTATCCTATCATTTCTTAGTTCCATTTTCACATGGGTACATAAATATTCTGACTGTATATGCCTACTATGTGTCTCTCTTTCCATAGGTTTTCCACTTCCCTCAATCCCCACCTTCTCAGTTATGTTTGAGCTACCTAACATTCATTTTGTTTATCTGTTAATTATGCAAAAGTGCTACATCATGGAAACCTACTCCTGCATGTACAATGTTTTAATCAGTTCGATAGTGGATAAGTGTATATAGCCCTTATATTTTAGTTCTAACTTCGATGCATGAAAACATGTTCTCTTTGTCTCTCTGAGCCCGACTTACCTCACTCAAGGTAATTTTTCCCGGTCCATTAATTACCCTGAAAATGATATAAATTCTTATTATAGTGGTAGATATATAATATAAAATCTAAAAATAACCTTTTTTCAGGTTAATAAGGTAGTACATATTTTTAATGGAAAAATGAGAAATACTGAAAACAAAAAAATGACTATCACTGATTCTATGAATTAGAAAAAAGGAAGAGTAAGACCATCTATAATTCCATTACTAGTTAATCACTGCCAACAGTTTTCTACATTACCTTCCAGTATTATTTTTCATTCATATATATGTATGTATGCATATATTTTCTTTCATTATTTTTCATTATTATTTCATTATTTTTATATACATACATAAACAAAACAGATTTGCATTTGAACTCAAGCCCTTATGCTTACGAGGCTAGCAGTATATGATTGAACCTCTGAGCTGTATTTCCAGCTCTGCTTTTTGCTAGTTGTTTTTAGAAGAGGATCTCACTTCAAACTCCAGCCCATACCTGAGCCTCATGATCCACCTACTTTAGGCTTCTTTTTCTAGGATCACAGATGCAAACTACCATATCTACATTCTTTTGATGAGAGGGAGTCTTGCAGACTTTTTCGGCCTGGGCTGTTCTGGAACTGTGATCCTCCCAATCTTAACACTCCCACATAACTTCAGATGACAGATAAATGGCACTGTGCTCAGCTTTGGAATGAGAAGGTTCTAAAAAATTTTCCAGTTCAGGTTGGCTTTGGAATTGCCCTGTTCTTAGCCTTTCAAGTAGTCAGGATTATAGGGATGAATCTGCAAAAAGCAGAGCTGGAGAGAGAGCTCAGACACTCAGGCATATATGCCAGCCTAGTAAGCATGAGGCCTTGAGTTCAAACCCAAATCTGTTTTGTTTATGTATATATATATGAAAATAATAATGAATGAAAACATATGCATATATACATATATATGAATGAAAAATAATACTAGAAGTGAAAATGCCTTGCTTTCATACATATGTTTTTAAAAATAAGGTGAAATTGTGTGCATAATGTATATCATTTTTTTCTGTAATTTTTTTTTTACTTAGTGTGTCATTTTCCCATGCTATCAGGTATTTCTAAACTCTGTGGAATGGTGTTAAATGAAATAAACGATAGTGACATATATAGCCAATGAGAAAGTAGCCTTGGGAGTCTACTCAGAGAAGACCTTTATAAAAAGGTGATATTGGAGTTGGAACTTGAAGAATGAGGAGGAGTTAGGCATATCAACATTTAAGGGAAACAGATTTAAAGTGGCACAGCTTTGAGAGCCTTAAGCAAGAATGTACACGGTTTGGGGCTTGGGTGCAATAGCTCATGACTGTGATCTCATTTATTGAGATTTGCAATCCAGTCTAGCCCTTGAAACACTTTAGTGAAACCTCAATGAAACTAGCCCATGTGCTTGTCATTTCAGATGTGTGTGTGTGAGAGGTATAAACAGGAAGATGTTGATCTAGGCTGGCCCATGGCAAACACAAAAGACTTTATCCAAAAAAATAAGTAAATAAATAAAGCAAAAGGGGCCTAGCTGAAGTGGTACACTTCCTGGCTAATAGTCTGCCTAGCAGCTGTGAGAACCTGACTTCGAACCCCAGTACTAACTCCCCCAAACAAAAACAACTATGCAGCATATGTAGGGATATTTGAAACCCAGGAAGGTGACCTATAGGGTTGAATTTATGTGAAGGCAGAAAGCCTTCTAACCCCAGTTAGGATTTTCCTCTAGGAAGCATGAATGTTTCTGTGGAGCGGTGGTTTGACAAGAGGGCTAAGTTGGAGAGGATGATAGTAGTGCAGGTGAAAAAAGGGGACTAGGAGGGATGAGTAGAGGAAAGTAGGTACAGGTATAATATGTTTAGGGATAAAACAGATTAAACCTGCTAGTGAGGAAGCTGTGGATGAGATATAGATGAATTTCAAAGACTGTAGAAATCTTTGAAAAAAATTACCTTGTTTGAGGCAATCAGCATTTTTACATTTTACAGTGCTCAGGTCTATCAGCAGTCTGCAACAACTAAAAGCTTTATTTGTTTTTTATTCAGGTGACATTTCTAGGCTTTAATGAAGAAACAGATGCTGCTCATATACAGGTATGGTCAATTTATTGAACTGGAAGCAACAGCAGGAGATTATTATTATTTTTTTTTTGGTCCGGTAGTGGGGCCTGAACTCTGGGCCTGGGCGCTATCCCTCAGCTCTTCAGCTCAAGGCTAGCGCTCTACCACCTGAGCCACAGCGCCACTTCCGGTATTTTTCTTTTTCCTTATGTGGTGCTGAGGAATCGAACCCAGGGCCTCATACATGCAAGGCAAGCGCTCTACCACTGAGCCACCTTCCCAGCCCTAGCAGGAGATTATTTGGAACAGATTTAGGAACTGAACAGTATACCTTGATACCTTAAATTTACATTAAATTATTGGTATCTTCTTAATATTAAGTGAAAATATATGGTACCTTTGGAGTATTCTTTGGACCTTTTCTTCCTTTCATGTGGTATGTAGTATGTGACATTTTCCCTCATTTTGATGGCTTTTATAATTTAACCTCAACAATATAAATTCGTATATATTTCAGCTGAGAAAGTTAACTGTAAAAGTAAATTTATAAACTGTCAGTATTAGCCAATGCAAAAAATTTATTAGTAGGAGGGGGTAACAGTACTCGATAGGAAATGTACTCATTACCTCACTCATGTGACTGTAACCCCTCTGTGCAGTATCTTTACAATAAAAATATTAAAAAAAATTTTATTAGTGTGTTTTATTTAGGCATAGAGGGTTTGATACTTGAGATTTAATATTAACAAATTGAAACAGAAATTGAAAGTGTGGTTGAAGCTCCTTTTCATGCTGCAGCTTGAATTTGATTGCTACAAGTTTCCTGTTCCGATTAGTGTCTCCTATTAGGAAGAGCATTAGGAATATTATTCAGAGGAACTTTACAGCTTTCTGAATACTCCCCAGAAAGTGATTATGGATGAAAACTCTGTTGTATGTCTTGTTACCTTAGCTGGGAGAAAATCACTTGGTCAGAAGGAACAGAGAATATATTATTGGGAATATTAGCTAGAAAGAGAAATAGTCCAAAGTGTTTCTCTGTTACTTTTTCTTTCAGTTAGTGATAAAACCATGTTTACAAAGGAAAGTACTCTTTAAGGGTCAAAGACTTGAAAATTTCTGCAGCTGGATAAAATATTTACATGAAAAGGCAAACAAAATGATAAAGAACTGCTTTCTTTTTCTTTAGCCTTCATAAAACTTTGAGTTAGAGTCTGATATAGTAACTTTAAGAGGAGTAGAAAAATGGACTTACACTTCACAAAGCAAAAATTTTAATTCTGAGGAAATACTTCCAGTAGGCAAGAATCCTGTGAGAGAATTCTAGAGTTAAACCTAAGACTCATAGGTTAACATTGACTAAAAATATTAAATTCCCAATTGTTCTGGGTATATGAGGTGTCATATTAAAATTCACTATAGCTTACTAAAATATGTTTCACAGGGTATGGTAATAGTAATATTCAATGATTTTAGTATGCATTTTTAAATTAAAAATGGGGTTTCTGTGGATAATGAACTGCAGATGTGAATTATTATAAAACTATTTATTAGTACTACTTAGGATTTTTAGATATAATATTGTAACTTTAACAGTATTCTATTGTATTACTTATTGTTCTTATTTTAAATTAGGATTTAGCTGCAGTTTCTTTGGAACTTCCAGATCTTCTGAATTCACTCCACTTCTGTAGTCTAAATGAAAATGAAATTATTTGTATGAAGGATATAAGTAAAACATCAGATATAAACAGCCGTCCTCTAAATCAGGTAATTTATAATGAGTATTTCAGAGCAAGTTTTAGTATATTTGGTCAGGAATATTAAACTTCTTGGATGAAGGTTTTTGTTTTAATGCCTCCTCAAGGTAATAGTATTCCTAAGAAATCTAACACAGGGGCTGGGAATGTGGCTCAGTGGTAGAGTGCTTTCATAGCATGCATGAAGCCCTGGGTTTGATTCCTCAGCACCACATAAACAGAAAACGCTGGAAGTGGCACTGTGATTCAAGTGGTAGAGTGCTAATATTGAGCAAAAGAAGCTTAGAGACATTGCCCAGGCCCTGAGTTCAAGCCCCTAGACTGGCCAAAAAAACCCAAAAGACAACAAAAAAAACCCAAATCTAACTCAAGAAATGTTGATATCCTTGAAATGTAGTATAATTTTGGTCATAGCTCATAAATTTGATTTCCATCTGTGAAGTTCTATAAGTGATGTGCAAGTGCATTTTATTTATTTAGTTGTAACAATATAAGGGCTTGAACTTGGAGATCCATACTCTTGCTGGGCTTTTTTGCTCATGTCTTAGTACTCCATCACTTGAACTACGCCCGTAATTTCAAGTTTTAAAGATAATAGTCTGCAGGATTTATTTGTCTGCCCAGGCTGACTTCAAACCTCAATCCTAAGATCTCAGCCTCCTGAGTAAAAAGAATTATACATATGAGCCACAAGTGCCAGACTCATATTAATTTTTAATGTAAATTGATTCTTCTTTAATGTCTTTAATTCCAACTTTGTACAAGGCATAGGGACTTTTCTTCTTTATAGCCACTTCCAGATTTATATAAACAATGATGTATTTTAGAGACTGTACTTCATTCATTTTCTGGTTAGGAACTTTCCATGTGAAATCATCACCCAAAGATATATGTATTTTTAAAAAGATAAATGTTTATTAAAAAATAGAAAATGTTTCATTTCATACAAGTAGTTAATTTTATAATCAACCTTTAGTTCATTACTGCTTGATAATGTATAAAAGAAAAATGCTTTACATCATAAGAGACATAACATTATAACTGAACCAATAGATTGAAAAATTGGATTTGTTTTTATTCCATTATAAGATAACTGCTTTGTCCTTTGTGAGGTCTACTGATTAAAAATGGAACTGCTTACCTCGGTTCCATAATTATATGCTTTATTCATATTTATTCATTGTGACTTAAGGGGTGGTTATTGCCTTTAATTTCTACTTTTTCAAATAAATAATTTGTCAATATTTATATTTATCACATTGATAATATGTAAGAGAAAATCTAGCAACTTGGTATTGTTAATCAACAGTAAACATTATTAGCTTTAATGCTAGAGAAATTTAAATAAAAGGGAACTTCTTTAAAAAAATTGACAGAAAAAGTGACATCATGCTGAAAGTTACAGGAAAATGGGACAAAAAAATGAAATACAACTTGGTTTCTGTTCTCAGACAGTTTATATTGTAGTTGATAACACAAGGGAATGATTAGACACATGACAAGGTTTCATAGTAATATAGGAAACTTAATTGACCAAGGGAATGCATAGTAGGTGCTATAGCATTTAAATAGATAGAATTTGAATACATGGATAAGAGAAAACTAGAATGTGGGACATTAAAGGAGGGAGAAAAGAATAAAATTATTATAACTATATAAAAATATTATAAAATAAGTGAGCCTTTCAGGATACAGGCACTTCATGCTTTTTTGTTATTATTATTATTTTCACTTTTGTTTTTGCTCTGAGTCTGTATTTCTGAGCTGCACTACCAGATAATATATTTTGTATTTAAAATTAATATTGTCTCTATGGTCTTTTTTTTCTTTTCCTAGAATCATCATTCTGGAATGCTTTGTGTTATGAGAGTGTCACCTACATTACCAAGACTCAGAATTGATTTTATCTTTAGTCTTCTAAGTAAATATGCCACTGGTATAAGATACACCCTGGACACATTCTTGCATCAGAGGCGTCAGCTTGAGATCACTGATGAAGATGATGATGATGATGATGATACCAACCAGTCTGTGTCTTCCATAGAGGATGATTTTGTCACAGCTTTTGAGCAATTAGAAGAAGAAACTTCAAAGCCACATGATGATGGTTTGTTTTTCTTGCTAGATATTTTTTAGAAATTATAGATTGAAATTGAAAGTTTAAGTTTAAGGTTCAAAGGAAGATTTGTTCATTTGAAATTTATGTTAAAATTTGGTCTGATTTAAACATTTTAACCCTTTATCTGAGGAATTAATTTATCTGGTTTTTACCTTTATTGTTCACCTGGCTTCTAATTTTGCTCTTTCTATTCGTATTTAAGTAATGCCATTATCAAATGCCAACCTTTCTAGTTTCAGATATCAGAAGAAGTATCAGTGGAGTCACCATAGTAGAGTTTCTCATTTGCATGATAGCATGCTATAAGCATTCCATAGATATCTACAAATTATAATAGTAAAAGACATATTTTCATCCAAATGTTACTTGTGATGAATCTTCCTTTTAAATCACAAAGTATAGAAAGGATGTTAAAATAAACATTTTTGTGCTTTAATATCAATTTATTCCATTGATTTAACATTTGTATAATAATTTTATTAGTGTGTATTGGTCATACAAGGGGGGGTTTCACTGTAACATTTCCATATATTTTATAATATAGGTATACACATACACACACACTCATACTGTATAACATGATCAAACACATCCTTCTCTTTCCCATATTTTCCCTCTTCTTAAAACAATTTTAGCAAGCTTTATTTTTGAAACGTCATATAGAGCAACACATTGTCCTATGTTGTACTTTAACCAGGGACAATATAATATCTTTTAAGTCTAGATTCTGCAAATGAGGTGAAAACATGATATTTGGCTTTTTAGTTTTTCTTGTTTAGCATGATAATCTCCAGCTCCATTCACTTTCCTACAAATGACTTTAAGTTTGTAAAAATTCTGTTCTAGAATAATGCAATCACTTTATTCTTTTCTTATAGGAATAAATATTTCCACACTAAAGAGCCAATGTGATGCTGCCTCTCAGACTACTTCTGGTCATCTCTTAGAAACCCATGATTTAAAGACACTGGTTAGCTCTGGACAGCCAAAGTCATTGGATAAACCTCCATCTTTTGTAAATACTCTGGAACACAAAGAACCACCTGTGAAAACTTCAGTTACAACATCTGTTTCAGAGCCTTGGATCCAAAGAAGTTTCTATAAGTCATCTAATGCTTCAGATAAAGGTAGTGATATACAGAAAACACTTTTTTCTTCGTCTCCTGCCTACTCATCTGAATCTGAATGTTCTAGTCCAAGTCCTGTTATTTTCTTGGATGAAGAGGGATATCAAAAAATTTTAAAAGCTAAACTTGAACTGCCTAAAATTCCTGTGATGAAAGATGATATAGAGGATTCAGACTCAGAAGTCAGTGAATTTTTTGACAGTTTTGATCAGTTTGATGAATTAGAACAATCTTTAGAAACTTCCTGTCTCCTTATAAAGGAGCCTGCTGTAGGGAAGTCATTGCAGAAGAAAGGGCACAAACATGAAAAATCTTGTATGAATCCTCAAAAATTCAAGTTTGATTGTCCAGCTCTTCCAGCTAACGTTAGAAAGCCAACTCCTCGTAAACCAGAATCTCCATACAGCAACCTGGGTGATACTCCAGATTCTCCCCGCCCAGCAAAGGCATCGGGAGATGATAGTGGTTTGTTTAGCCCTGTTCGATCCTCTGCTTTTAGTCCTCTTGGAAACTATACTCCTGCTGAATGTTTTTGCCAGACAGATATTGGTGGAGATAAGAGTCTTGAAAATCACAGTTCTACTTATCACACTTACGAAGATTATGCAAATAGTTTTTCATGTGAAGTTCTAGGCTCAATTCTTCATCCTCAAAATGCTAATGCAATGTCAAACATTAATAGCATTAAAAGGAGAGATAAAATTGTAGCTTTTAAGCATGGAAACCTTGATCAAAAAAATAAATCTAAAAGTAAATCTTTAATGATTAAAGATAGCATTCAGAAATTTGCAGCAGATCTTGTGGAGAAAAGTTTTGGCAGTGCATTTAAAGACTTACAGAAAGGAGTCTCTTCATGTACCAATGCACTGTGCCACTTAGCCATCAAATTGACATCATCTGTTTTTCAGATGGCATTTAATGAACTAAGACGACAGCGTGCATTTTACCTGAAAGAACGTGCCATTGGTAGTCTGGCTAATTTTTTGGTGAGTGAAGCCTTATCAAACGCCTTGAAAGATTTACAGTATGTGAAGAGGCAGATATTTACAAACACAGTTGCTAGATTTGCTACAGATCTTGCAGAAGAACTTGTTTTTGAAGGTATCATGGAGGTGTGTCAGTTTTCATATCCTCCAACACCTGCATCTCCACAGGGCCATTCATTTGACTTTGAAGACAAAGTAGTGAAATCATATGCAAAAGATTTGTCTGAATCTGTTATACAGGAAGCATTCATTGAGCTATCACAAGTTGATGTGACCTTCACGACAAAGGCAGCAGTTAGTGTTTCTATGGATAACAACAAGTATGTGAGTGCAGAAAGCATGCCATCCACACAGACCTTTCCATTTTCTCCATCTTTCAACAGTCCATCAAGTGTGGCAACAAAACCAATACTGGACTACAAAAAAGAATACACAGTGCAGCAGGCCTTGATTTGTACTTCAGGAGTTGTCACTTCCATACCAGTACCTTTGGCAGGAAGTGCCCTTCTCCCATATCATATTTCATCTACTTTGTTTCAAGCTAAGTCTCATGGGTCATCTATTGATAGTAATACAAATGGTGATTCCACCCAAATAGATGTTACTGCGAAAAACAAAGAGGAAGTAGCTTGTATGAGAAATACTGGTTTACCTTCAGAACCCAGTCCAGATACTCAGAATGATTTAAAACCAACTAATGTTACTGACATGCAGAATTCTTCAAAACCAACAAATGGTCCAGGGATTATTAGCAACTTTTCTGCTGCAATGGTGCATACAATAGTAAATGAAACTTTAGAATCAATGACATCATTCAAAGTTACAAAAACAGTTGATGAAAAGACAGACTATTTAACTAAAACAATAAAGGGGAAAACTTCTTTTCCTCAATGTGATCAAGCAACATCACAGCAGAGTGAAGCTTGCAATAAGGATGTGTTTGCTGAACAGTTATCTAAATCTATTATTAAACATTCCATAGATAAAAGCAAAACAGTGACCCCAAATTTAGATAAAACTGCAGTATGTAAAAGAGGCTTGCCTATTCTTGAAGAAGGATCACAGCTGACCTTGGAAAAGTTCCCTAAATTTCTTGAGGCTCACTATCACTTACCTCACTGTTCATTTTCATTTGGAAAAGATAGTGTTCCAGAATGTAAAGAGACTATTGATGCTTATGGACTTCCTGTAGAGATGGTGCCACCTGGTGCGAGTCAGAAAGCTGATTTGAAGGAACTTCCTAAAGATAAACTGGTGAAAAAACATCCAAATAACACAGCAATTGAGCCCTTGTCTTTTGGACATGATAGTTCTTTTCATCACTCACATACTTTGTCATCTCCAGTACTTACCTGTGTAGATGGCCTACACATGGAAGATAAACAGAAAATCAAAGAGAGAAATGTAATACCCAATACTCCTCCATCAACTCCTCTAGTACCCTCCCAGGCTGGTTCTGAATGGGACATCAAGAAATTAACCAAAAAGCTCAAGGGGGAATTAGCCAAAGAATTTGCACCTGCTACACCACCTTCTACACCTCATAACTCCTCTGTTGGTAGTTTGACTGAAAATGAACAACATACTATAGAAAAAGAAGAATTCATGCTGAAACTCATGCGATCTCTTTCTGAAGAAGTTGAAAGTGGTGAAGGTGAAGAGCATCCAGAAGTGGATGTCAAGTCAGAGAACTCAGGGAAGAAAGTTCAGTTTGCAGAAGCCCTGGCTACACACATCATCTCTTTTGCAACTGAGATGGTAGCCTCCCATATAGATCATGAAATAACTCAAGAACCCAAGGTTCAAAATCCTTGCTTAAGTGTTCAGAGTCCAAGAAGTACATTGCCTACTTTTGTCAGTCATTCAGATGACAATTTACAAACTTGCAATTTTGCAGGTAATATGGCCGCAGAAGTTATTGTAGAAACTGAGAAAACAGCAAAAGTTCGGAGTTGTGCACTTTTCAGGCAGAAGAAGAACAGTTGTTATCATGATGGTGACCAAGACAGGTCAGAAGAGAAGTTGGATACAGAGGTTGTAGCACACCCCAGAGAAGTGGATCCATTTATTCTGTCCTTACCACCAAGTTCTGGGATGTCGGGTCTGACATACAAGTATCCTAGCTGTGAAAGTGTGACAGATGAATATGCAGGTCATATTATCCAAATATTAAAACAGGAAGGTGGTAATGGTGAGTTAATAATGGATCAGTATGCCAATAGACTTGCTTATCGATCCATTAAGTCAGGATTACAAGCAGCAGCTAAGATAGCCAAGAAGAAGTATAACTCAAAAATGTTCCCTGAGCAAAGTTCACAAGTGAAAAGCAGCAATGAGCTGTTCATATTCTCAAAGAAGGAGCACCACCTTGAAGTAGAGAAAACAAGACAAAGGAAAAGAAATGGAGGTCACATTTGCAAAAACCAAACTTGTGAAAAGACACAGGATTCGTGTAGAAATGATTGCTCTGAACTGTATAGTTTCTCGGCCTCTCTTGCTCACAGTATAACAAGAGATGTTAAAAAAGAGTTAACAGCACCTGCCATTGACTCAACAAAATCCCTAACAGATACTTGCCTTTTTGAAAAAACTGGATGTGTTGAAGATACTGAATGTGTCACTAAACCAGAATTTCCTAAATCTCTTCAGCGTTCCTTACAAAACTGTGGCTTTTACCATCATGCTGGCAGCTTTGGTGAATATGGTTCAGGGGATAATGTTATCCAAACCATAGAACAGTATGCTAAAAAAGTAGCAGATGATACTTTAGAACTTGGCTTAGGATCCACAGTTTTCCAAGTGACTGAGGCTACGAAATTGGTGGATAGGATCACTTATGCTGAAAAATTGTCACCTCTTATAAATCAAGCTTGCAGATATTGTGACCTTAAAGAATTCCATGATTGTACTGGAAACTCATCCCAGCAGTTTTCCAGACAGGGGTCATGTGCTAGTAGGAAGCCAGCTTCAAATCCAAACCTTAGCAACATCTATCAGAAATCTAGAATTTTTCATCTTGATGTCCCTCAAATTCATGTTAATCTTGATAAAAAGACAGTGCTTGCGGAGAAAATAGTTGCTGAAGCCATTGAGAAAGCAGAGAGAGAGCTGAGCAACACCAGTTTGGCAGCTGATAGTGGAATTGGACAAGATGGCATTAGCTTTGCTGAAAGCCTTACCACAGAAATAATGACCTCTGCCATGATGAATGTTGGGCATGATTTCAGCAGGTAAGTTTGAGATTTCTTTTGGGTCAGGATAATAGGATGAAAAGCTAATTTTGAGCATGTCGTAGGGACTTCATAAAATTATGATTATTTTCATCTTAATGTTACAAAAATTTTCTGTTTCATTTGTGTATGGCTTCATATTCTACCCATAGCTTTCATACATTTTTGTCTCCTGATCCCTTTTGAGGGAAGGATTGTCCATTTACAGGGCTGGAAGATGAAGGTTAGAGAACATAATCACCTTGTCAAGTTCATGGAGCTATGAAGCAGGTAAAGTTGAATCAAAGCACAGCTAGAGAATTTTATGCAGCAAATGTAGCTCACTAGCATATATTAGTTAGCTATTCTGAGGTAAAATTTTCTTTTCTGGTGGGGGTAGTACTTGAGTTAAAACTTTGGGCTTGATTAGATGACTCTTTTACTGCTTGAGCCATGCCCCCAGTCTGGCTTTTTGAGTAGTTGAAACAGAAACCCAACAACTATCTGAAAAAGGTCATGAGCCCTATCATAGACTTACATTTTCTTTGTTCCTACATTGTGATGATGAGCGTAATACATTGTTACAAAAAATGACTAAGTGATAAAAAATATATTTGATAGAACTTTCCTCATATAAGTAGCCTCAGGTTGTTTTTATCCTAGCCTTATGGGGAGAAAACTGTATAGCTTGAAGATTCTAAAATATCTTTCCAGGGCCTGGCAACTACCATTGCTATTCATTCATTCTTTGATCACCTTTCTTCTTAGACCTGGGGAATAGATAGTCCCTGGAGTTCTTCTGGTAACCCAACTTTTTATCTAGGTGATGTTTACAAAGAAAATTAATTCTTTGCCTGTTTCCCTTAATTGTACTAGGATCTTGTACATGCTGTTAAAAGTTTGAATGTGGCTTAGTGGTAGAATGCTTGCCTAGCATGCATGAAGCCCTGGGTTCGAATCCTTAGTACCACATAAACAGAAAAAGACAGAAGTGGTGCTGTTCTTAAGTGGTAGAGTGCAAGCACAAAGAAGCTCAGGAACAGTGACCAGCCTTGAGTTCAAGCCCCAGGATTGGCAAAAAAAAAAAAAAAAAGTTTGACTCTGATGTGTACATTTTGTTTCAAATGTTAATATCATCTCTCAAGCTGGAAGGAAAATTCATTCAAATGAATTATCCTCTTAAGACATTATTTGGGTTTTATGATTCAAGGAAGTAATGCTAAGTATGTCACACAGCTGTTATGTTCACAGTAATGGCATATGGCTATCAAGTGGAATATACTGTCACAGTACTATGTGATAGAAGAACAGAACATGTAGACTCTCAACCCAAATCATCATTAAATAACTTGGTCATTAAATGACTAGCAGTCATAAAAACTTTCGTTTCCCCAAAAATGTAGCATATATGAGGAGTTTTCCAAAAGAACAAAGTTGTGCTACTATTATTCAGAATTATAGTGAGCCTGCCTCACTATGTATCAAATTAAATACAAATGAAATACAAAAGAAACATTGCCTAGATAGGAAGATGGTAGTTCAAGGACTATTCTGCTCACTGGGATATAAAGTGAAACAGACCAAAATCTGTTTTCTGGGAGCTTATGATAGAATAAGACAGACACTAGCTAAATAAACTATATGGTGTATTCCATACTGAAAAGTGCTTCAGAGGGAGAAGCAAGCAAGAAAGTGAGTCAGGGAGTACTGGTACAGTTATGGCAACAGCACTTAATAATGGTTTGCAGTTTTAAGTGGGTTACAAGGGAAGCAATATTGGTAAAATAATGTTTGCGCCATGAAGATGAAGAGAGAATAGATCATTGGAAATCAGAGAGAAATGGTTCCAAGCAAAGACCTAGGCGTGTTCATGTTTGGAAAGAGGCTATTATTGGCAAAAGATGGCAAGTGATAAGGAGAATATTGTAAGATGGAACAACTAGTGTTTTTTAATGACTTAACATTCTTTTTTTTTTTGTCGGTCGTGGGGCTTGAACTCTGGGCCTGGGCGCTGTCCCTCAGCTCTTCAGCTCAAGGCGAGCGCCACTTGAGCTACAGCGCCACTTCCGGTTTTCTGGTGGTTTATTGGAGATAGGAGTCTCACGGTCTTTCCTGCCCGGGCTGGCTTTGAACCTCGATTCTCAGATCTCAGCCTCCTGAGTAGCTAGGATTACAGGCGTGAGCCACCGGCGCCCGGCTGACTTAACATTCTTATTCTGATTGGTGAGAAGCCATTGGCAGGTTTCCCTAAGAAGTCTGATATTTTTCTTCTTGTTGATAAACATCACTTTCTCAACACTTTGAGAATAGTACAGAAAAGGGACAATTAAGATAGTTGAACAATGAATGGACTTTGTAACAATGTGGTAGAAATATAAATGCTTCTTAAGTGAAAACAATGAAAAGAGCTTTGGTCCATGCTCTTACCTTGAATAAATTTGGCTAGTTTGATTTTATGTTTGACTGAAACTACTATAATTCCTTTCAGTAATTTTTAAAAAGTTATTCTTAAAGCCAAATGGAGGTTCTTTTAGTGCCAATAAAAGTACTGTTTTACAAAACACTTAAAGCTTATTATACTCCTCTATAATGTCTCAGTTAAAACTGAGCTGTTTTAAACAGACCTTAGGTAAATGATGCATCCATAATATGCATGATGAATCCATAATAGATTGGTACCTCAGTTAACTTTGTCTTTTCTTTTCTTTTCCTTAACCAACCTTCCTCCCTCCCTCCTTCCCTCCTTCCCTCTTTCCCTCCTTCCCTCCCTCCTTCCCTCCCTCCCTCCCTCCTTCCCTCCTTTCTTTCTTTCTTTTCTTTCCTTTCTTTCTTTCTCTTTCTTTCTTTCTTTCTTT